CACTTTCTGATTCTCGAAGACGGTACGCCCGATCAGACAAAATTTAAGGGGGGTCGTAATGTATCAGGATGCGGACCTCTGGAAAACCAGAGTTTTCCTGAAAACCCCATAAAAACTTAGTTTAAATTTTTTTCCTCGAACATGTATCTCGTTATTTTTGATGCTCTATCTGTGCTGAAAATTTGAGCTTGATCGGTCGTACCGTCTTCGAGAAACAGAAAGTGTCAAAAAAGAGGGGGGGGGGTACCCTTAAAATTTTAAAATCTTCAATTGGTGTTATTGCACCAATAGTTCGTATTGCTGCTTTCATTTTTGCATTTACTTGTGCTTCAAATGATGTTGAATCTGTTGTGAGTTCTTCAACATTTTCATTCTCTTCAAGACGAATATTTTTTGCTGAACCATAAAATAAGAAAATATTCTTTTTTTTTCTTCGAAATTAATTGTTATTTTTTTGTTTCCTTACTTATCAACATTACCAAAAAGGTGATCACTAGTAGTTATTTTTTGTCGACGTTCAGTATCTCGAAGAACAACTTGTTCATGAACTGTATCTAATGTTCGTTTAATCTTTGAAACAGCTGATTGAACTAATGCATCATTCATTTGTATAATTGTATTTGATAATGATAATGATTTTTCAGGAGTTACAGCAGGTCGAGCAATAGACTACAATGATTTTTAATCGAAATAAATAATACAACCAAAATGAAATATATACTTGAAACATTCGTTGAATATATGGATTGGAAACAAGTTCTGGTCGAAATGCTTCTTCACTTTAATTAAATTCAAATTTATTTTGGTTTTCCTTTTTTTCATCGTCTTAAATTCCTACCCTTAATCAGCATGTGTCAAATTCATAGTTGTGATTAAATTATCAATAGTTTTTAATTGTTCATCATTTAGTTGGTTTCGTTTAATAGCATCAAGATTATCAAAATCAAATTCACGTAAATCTTCTGCAAATGATAATTTAACATAATACATGCACTAAAAAAGATGTTTATTTTCATTGAATTATTTGATAAACTTCAATTTGCATACTCACAATATGATCATGAGCAATATGTGGACGTAAAAAACATAGTTCAGATGAACTTCTTTCACTAAAACATTTACGTACAATAGCAACTGTACTTGCATCATACATCGCTTAAAAAAGACCAGCAAATGCTTCACCTTCTTCCTAATAAAAGAAAATTCTATAAAATATGAAACATAATTACCATGCTTTCACTATGGAATCATCGATAAAGAAGATCCGAGCTCTGGCTAAGATATTTTTCGCTTTTTCCCAGAATTTTGACGTTAAGTGTGCTTTAACAGTTGTTTTCAAATTATTCCATATAGGAATTCAATGGTGTCTCATTGATGAATGCACGAAGTATATGAACCATACAATGAATGTTTTTCTTCTTTGTCTAATATGTTCTCACTAGGAAGGATTCGATAGCCGGATCCTGCCAGACACTTTCGAAAAAAACTATCAAATCTGACAGGATCCGGAACGATTCGACGATTCAGTATTTGCTCAACTCCGACTGATTGAAAGTGTTGAAATTTAATAAAAAGGATTCTGTGAGAATCTGGAAAGATCCGATTGGAATTATTAAGATTTGACTTAGGTGATACAGTTTATGAAGTTGTTGCAGAATCAGGTTATAAAGTATGTGATCCTTCGTTTTCTTTTTTTCTTAAAAATTAAGTTCAGATGAGAATAAATTTTTGGCATCTGTTCTATCACGGGTTGTGGTACGGCAGTAAGAATTGAAATATTTGCCGTTCATCCTGCTTCATACTCTATGATTCATTACAAATAAATCGTTGTTAATACATTCTTCTATTGAATTACAGCTCATTAATGAAGTGTGTGAGAAGAAGAAATGACATAAGGTACCTAGATCAAATCTTAATAATTCCAATCGGATCTTTCCAGATTCTCACAGAATCCTTTTTA